GAGCTAAAGTATATCACTATCATAGTTGTTCACACAACATCTGTAACACGGAATTCAAAAATTTAGGTAGAAAGATGTAATTGGGCAAGTCAAAGTAAAATTATGTCCTTCTTTTCCCTCCCTCTCTCATCAGAAAAAAGAAACTTTAGATTAGCTGTACTCTCTGGTAGACAGAGGCTATATTTCTGTAAATATATATATATAAATGGAAAAAGCAAGAGATTTCTCTAATTTTCACTTTTATGATGGTAAACATTGGCACAGCACTAACTTCCAACAGTTCCAGAATGAATTGCAAAATAGCATGGTATTTTACATAACTCAAAATATTCATTCTTAATCTCTTCCCCTCTCCCCCCATCCCCCAAGTATTTTAACTTTCCAAATTTTAATGATTTAGCAGAATTTGAAAGCAGAAGGTTTAAAAAGTGATAAAGGGGGTGCAGAAATTAGCAGAGGTGGCACTACCTGAAAGCTCATCAGAAAGGGGAGTGAGAACAATATCAGGCAAGAAGGGTTTGGAAGTATGGATCAGAACAGGAGCACTTTTAGCACTGCGTATATAGGCCGATGGCAGAGCACATTCACCAATGGATCGGCTTCTCATGGCTTTAAAAAGGAAAAGAAAGAAGTGGGGAAGGAAAAAAGAAGAGTGACTATAATGAAAGGCTTGTGTCACAGAAAAAGCAGCAACAGAGAAAACAAAGATAAAAAGGAAGAAAATTCAAAAATTAAAACATTTCAGCACGGCAGATATTGGCAGAGCTGTAAGAAAGAAAAAAAATCAGTGGACACATAAGACATTTTGAGTTTTTAACTTTTATGTAAAGCAGCAACAATGCCTTTATTATGACGATTACAGAGATTTTGCATTCAAAATCAAGAAATTAACACTTTTTTCTTCCCATTGCATCAGGGGTTGAAAAATCAAAGTTAAAGTCACTCCACAAGCACTCATAACTTGAAATTTTCTAACAGAAAAACCAACTTACACTACATTTGCATTTTTCTAGTTTTGTTTGGTTTACCCCTGAAAAAGTATCTCTGAATGTCACACATACCCATGCTCTTGAATTCCAGATTCTCCAAAAGAGATTCAAAAGCATAAGTAGAAAATTACCAGTTCTGTGTGGAGAAATTTGCAATAAAACTCGTTATAGTTCCACATTAAAAATGAAGTGACTAAAGTGAAATGGTTTAACAACAAAAAGCATTAAATTGTTTCTTATCCATAGGATCTGACTTTTAATGGATACTGGATAAACTTTGCTAAACTGCTCCTAATTCACCTTTTCATATCTCATCTCTTGCCAACAGTCCTACAGAATGGAAAACTTACATAATTGTGGCATCAGGACCAAGGTTATGTCTGCATCTTTCCCAATAGATTTAAAATCGATTTTTATGACATTTGTTTTCCTTTGTCAGAGTAAGACATAGCAAGAACCAATATTGCATTCAATCTCAAAGTATACCTGAATTTTTTCAAAAAGTCATATTCATTGTTTCAAGCAGCTTTCTTTTCAAACTGTTGCAAATTTGACAGCTTATTTTAAAACAGTTGCTGATACACTTCTTTTAAGCAAACTTCAGTGCATCTTACATAAGTATTGTCAGTACAGTACTTAGTCGGTCTTTGAACCTTTCTATGTACGTTCTCAAAACAACATGGAATACAATATAGACTTAGAATCTTAGTGCTCCTGATCTGTATGGGAATCAGAAGTACATGAATGGAGTGCAGTGAAAGTTGAGCACATCACACTTCTAAATCAGGTTAAAGAATTGTCCCTAACAGCAACATGCAGATAGAACAGGTAGGTCAATGTACGTAGAGTGGAAAACACATTTGACAAATGCAGCACAACTTAAGTGAAGCCTTAACATCAATTTGAAAAAACAACTCAGAGAGACAGATGTTTTAAGACTGAAGCCATTCTCTGTTAAACTTGGTTTGTAAGACAGAAACCAATTTGAAAAAAAAGGCAATTATGTAGAAAGCTTTAATATCTCTTTAGGAGATACAATAATAAAATTTAGGATACAGCGATAGTGAGATGCTTTACATCCATCCTTGTGCATCTTAAAGTGAATGCAGGCAAGAGAATAAATTACAAGCTACATAGTAAATCTTAAGGGTCTTTTCCAATCTAAATGATCCTACAATTCTAAATAAACCAAACTTTTGAGACTGGATGATGTGTTGATTACAAACGTTAACATGAAGTGTCCCTTGTAATTTGACTGGATCTTTTGCGCCATATTACATTGATACTAACAAGGTGGTGCAGACCAATCCATTTACAATTTGGAAGGTGGAAATTTTACATAAACTTTTGAAGGAAAAATTTCACTGTATTATTACTGGAAGCGAAATTATCTTCCAGATGCTGTACAAGGAAAATGCAATCTCAGTGAATTATTATTTTAAATAAGATGTGTCACATTCAATTAAGTAGTTAAGTAGAGGTAGACTTAATACCACAATGTGGAGTAGATATTTGACAGTTTATAACCTTCCACTGTCATCTATAGACAAAAGCAGAACAATAGATTAGTAAATTCTTTCTGATCTGATATTTTTATAGGACTAGAATCTACTGCCTAAGCCACAAATTCCGTATCTAGCCCTATAGAAGATTTTTCAACCCATATGCATATCATGTTTAAAGGACCTTTTCCAAAAATTACTTTACATAAGTTCAGGCTAAAAACATACACACTGCATACCAGAAAAGCTGTGATTTTTATTTGAGTAACACACACACACACAAATTTGGTGCAGCAATAAATGTGTGCTGGCATGAGGATGGCTCAAAAAATAGAAGTGCACAGATGTACACAAAATGTGTACAACAAAAAACAGATGAAAAAGAAACCCCAAGCTTTTTCTTACCATAAAATATTCAACATGCACATCCCCCCTACTCAGATACAAAGAGTATATTACTCACAATCAAAGGAAATATACTACCTATCAGATATCATGCAACATATCTGAGGTCTGACTCAATTCCAGACTTAGCTTGTGGAGCTAATGTTAAACTGAAGGAGAAGATCTGACCAGCAAAGTTTTCTATAGAAAATTTTACTTATTGTGACCATAAACCAGTTTTAATTATGTGACCCTGTGTTGACTGGCATAGATTAAGAAGCACCTGAACAGCTCTCTTAGCAGACCTGAGACACCGTAACAAGCAACAGTTTGCAGACAGTTTAGACATATTCTTTTGTAACATATTCTTCATTGACACTTTAAAAAAATGAGATTGGGATTCTGTCTCTGGCCACTCTTTTTGGGATTTTAATCTTTTAAAATCATCCTACTAATGCTGTGATGCTTGTCTACAGATGGCATCCTACAATACGAACAGAGTTGAAATTTTAACTGGTTACAGTAATACAAACTTGTCTTATTAATATCAAACATGTAAGATAATTGGAAGAAAGGAACAAAACCATGGAAGCTAAAGTACAATGCAACTAAAATCAGATTAGTTTGCTGCTAACCAGGTCAATATATAGCTTGATTAGGATAAATTTCAGTCATTTTAGGGCTAACATCATATAAAATAGCCATCTTTCAAACAGCAGCAAAACAAAATCATTAATAAATTGCCCAAACAACATAACCTTCTGACAGAATATCTGAAATATTACCAATTTGGGAAGGAGAAATTTTACCACGAGCTTTACCTTGTTAAGACAATTAAGACTTAAAATAAAAACACAGTCATAATTAATCACAGACTATCTACAGAAAAGCAGAAATTACATTTAAATTGTATGTGATCTGTAAAGAAAATTTTAGTCAAACTAGGTGCTGAGATACAGGAAAATCTGTGTAGCACTTGAATGCATGAAAAAGACTGGAAATTTTATAGTAGTGACTTTGTTTTCTCACATGTCTATACTGCTTATAGAACAATTAACTCTCCCACACCAACAAAAGCCTTACGAGAGAACAAATTTCTAAAATGAAGATTTTTGAAGAATATTCAAATAAAAACTTTGGTTAAATAACCTCTGTGACTTAAAAAAAAACAACAGCAAATTATTTTGGAAAGAGCAAGAAAATGTTAATTTCTGAAAAGCTAAGACATTTAAATATTCAACTGCCAATATGCATCCCCGGTCTCTAAAACTGTGTCAGAATGTACCTCCTTCCAAGAAGTATCAGTGAAGCAACAACACACATTGACCGAAGCCACTACTACTACAGAGATAGTAAAAAAGCAAGAGATAGTCCTTAAAAGGTTCTTCTTTTAAATAAAAGAGATAGCACTGAGATCATCAAGATGAGACAACAGAGTAAAGAAATTTGTAGTCCGGTTCATGTTAAGATATTCTAAGCAAATCATACAAACACAAACAAGTCTTCTTTTGAGCAATCCACCTAAAGCACTGTTTAGCATCAGTCATTGCTAACACAGGAAAGAGTATCTGCAAGTAACGAAGTTGAGAAATAGATTACTTCAGCAATGGAGAATTGCACATGTATGTGCCAATCTTTCATTAATGCAAGATTCACGGTACAGTAAAAGGCAACACATTTTATAATCTATGCAATTACATACACTTCTCACACTTTTCTTTGCACAGCTGGAAAATAATCAACCTATTTCGTGCAGTTTATGAAAATACACACTTAAAAAGCCTCCTGTTACCCATCTATCCACACCAGTGTTTAAACCATTCCAGTTTTTTTCTCTTTCATATACATACAACAGCACTATTTTTCCAATCCAGCTTAAGCATGCGATCAAACTCATTAAGAATACATCGACTGCATTACTTTCATTTGCAGTAACTGTAATTCTAGTAACCACAAGCTGTTCAGCTACCTAAAGCACATAAGGCTGCATAATTTACACATTTAATTAATTATTATAGATAGTATACTTTTGTGAAAAGAAGTTAGCCACATTGCTACAAAAGTCAGTTACTAATTCCTTACCCTTTCTCAAATGTTACTTAGATGAGCTTTTACAGATACGTACCAACTGTTTTCTGACGTACTATGCTTCTTGCCTTTTCTGTCCCTGGAGAGCCAGTGGTTGTAGCACTGCGTTGTCTCATTGGTGCTTGTCCAGGCTGATCACGGCTCCAGCCTCTAGAAAAGGACTTATCAACAGAAGACTTTGGGAATTCATGCCCAACTCCTGCAAAAACAGAATTGCAAATCTGTTCACTTCTATTCTGGCATCACGAGATATTTGTAGTTGTGCTCTTTCAGAGTTTTAAAGTTGGACAGAATAAATAAATCATGTAATCAAAGCAAGTATAATTTTAAAAGTTAAACAGCTCATCACTGTTTTTTAGATATATAAACACACTCAGTCAGCATTAACACCGAGGAATAATCAAACTTTTTCAGAAGCGTTGGTGCTATTAAACTATTGTGATTTTCTTTCCTGACCAACCAAGTGTAAAACCACAAGAAAACTGGACTTACAAAGATTGTAGCCTGATAAAAATGTGTAACTATAGAAACTTCACATTTACTGTTGTTATTAGACAAGACACACAAAAACATACATTACAGACCATTTGTTTTTTTTCAATTTATTTTGTGACATTTGAGGAAAATGAAATAAAGATAAAATATTTAACAACAAATGCAAAAGCAAGAAAATGGAACCATGGGCTCAGAGAACAAGGCTCTTTGAAAACTCACTAAAAATACTACACTAAGATTAAGAAACAATGGAACAAATTCAGATTTAACATTTCTATTGAAGTAAATAAAGCTCATACGAGGAGGTACCAAAAACAACTGTATGTGAAAAGAAAAAGTGACCTATATTTCCAATATATTTCCTTATCCAGATTAAACTCAGATAATCCAAAATTATACTTGATAAAGAATTAGAGTCATTAAAAGGGCATCTTCTTGGATAGTACAACATGTTCATTATTATTAGGAAATGAACAGGGCCAAAGAAATTTGGCATAATTTTTATTATATTTATTACTTCCAAAGCTGGAGTTAACTCTGCAACTCACGTTTAACAATGGAGGCTTTCTCTGGAACTGTTACTGAAGGCTAACATAAACTCTTCTCATGTGGCTCTGTATGGGTGATACAGATGATTCAAAAAGTTTTTTAAGCCTATATTAAAATAACTATACACATTCTTATTTCACATCAGACTACTACTTACTTTTTTTTAAACTGTGTCTTTGCAAGAAAAAGAAGCAAGCTGTATAGTATAGGAAAACAAAAATGCATGGTCTGGAACAACCTCTCAGAGTCAATTAGAGAGTATTTTTGTATGGTTGTCACACACCAGAAGAACAAAATGAAAGTGTAAATAATGCCTTTTCCCAAAATGAGAAATTTGGAAGCATGTGAAATGCTTTTAGCAAAAAACAGCCTACAGGAACATCCTCTTTAAGAGAATATGAATATCCACATTGATTACTTCTCACTGACAAACCATAGCATACTGTAGGAAGTACCTTCCCTCAGGTTTGACTGGAGAACTACCTCAATTGGAACACAGAGAGATTAAAAAGTAGACTAAAAATTATACTTTTTTTCCATCTTTGTTACTCACTCCTGCCTCTCACTACTAGATCTCAAAGCACTTTCTAAAGGAGAAAAGTACCATTACCCATGTTTCACAGAAGTGGAAACAAAGACAGAAGTGATTGCTCATGGTCACATACAGAAAGTCTCTGATCTTGGAAGAGAATCCAGGTTTTGCAACTATCAATCTAGCACTCTGGCCAGGAGGACAGACTGCCTGTACCTTACCAGTTCCAGAACTGTTCCACTATAAGCAAGTAGCCACCTCCTCTCCACATTTTAAGTCCTACCGAGTATTTCCTGCATTGTTTAGGAATAGTTTTAAAAACTGGTATTCATACGGATTATTAAAAAATATCCTTTTTCTTAAATAGTCTAACAAGGTCACTACGACAAAATCTGTCTTCACGATGGTTTAACGATGAATTAAAACCAAAACAAAACTATGTTCATCTTACATTAATCTCTAAAAAACATTAATTGGATTTCAGGATCAATATTCCAGTTGTGCTTGCAACAGCCAGTTGCTAGCTAGCTAATTTTTATCAGACATGTACTCTGTTATTTTTCAAGAAGTTCTGACTGGGACTCAACTATTGAATTGCTTTGCTAAAAGGAGAAAGGCATAACCCACTACAGTGTAACATTTTAGGATAAATTCAACACACCTTTAAGACCTTCATTCCATATGTGCCTATTTTCATGACTGCATCTTTTTGTGGAGATTTCGTGGTGACACTAAAAAGCAGCCTTGTCTTAAAGGAACTGGGTTATTTCAGGTGTCAGAGATGCCTAATTAGGTGAACTAAAAAGGCTAGACCAGAATTCTGCTGTGCCCAACATCTCATTACCCCAGCTCAAATTCAAACAGTGTGCATACAGTGTTGTCTTACCTTTGCCTTTGTGTTTTTTCTGCTTCTGCTCACTTAATTTATCCAATGGCAGGTCACTGAGGTCCAGACTATACAAGTTTCTAGCTAATACTTTAGTTAGTGTCTCCATTGTCAGTGACCACTCAGTGGCCAGCTCTTCCCAATATGTCAGTGATGACATTACAGACAGCAAGTCATCCCAAAGTTCTCGAGATATGTACACATTTAGATTCGCTTTGATCCAAGCTACTATAAGAGTCTAAAAGAATAAAGTGAGAAAAGTTGGGTTCCAAACATAAAAGGACAACATTCAAATATTACTGCTTAAAAAGAAGTTTCTAACTGTCACAGAAATTTCAGTGTAGTCCTGACATTCTTTTCCTCACCAGAAAACACAGACTTTTCATCAATTATCAAGTGTTATGTTAACATGGGCTTCTGACTTAAGATACAGGAACAACTGCTTTGACTTATGAAAGATCTTTTGCTATCTTACAAGTTTTGCCAAAGAGTTCTGTAATCCTGGTTTCAATTAGTTCTCATCACATTCATATCTTATGCATCCCTTTTTTTTTTCCCCCCCACTAAGGAAACTAGAGACTTTACAGATCCTATTTACAGAGCAGTCACCACATCACTCCACAGCTATAAACTTTGAAAGGATCTGCTACAGCTTACCATATGGAATAAAAAAATCCATTGGGTAGGTATGGATGGCACAGAAGATTTTGTGCTGACTTGAGCTAATTTTGCAATGAAAACAGGCTAAAACTGCACACACTGTTAGTTATCCAAACTCAACTAAAGGACGGGAATTTTTTAATTTCTCAGTACCCCAAAAACCACTGACACGGTCTCACTAAATATAGGACAGAAAGTAACAAACGTAACCAGTTCTTTAACCCACACCATTTACATTATCTGGGTAACATGATCAATGATTTAAGATGACAAACCAGCCAACAGTGGCTGTTGCATCTAATCTCTTGATCAAAATTAAGCTGAATTAATTAGAGTGAATCTATGATTAATTGCCTGGAAAAGAGGTCCTGCAAGTCTTCCAGCTAAAGTGGAGTTTTTTCTTCCTTGATACTGCAAGAAAGTTTGGGGTGGTATTTTCAGCACAGATTCAGTAACCCTGAGCAGCACAAGTAGCATCTGTTCCCTGCAAAACAATATTAAACTTGGAGTTACCATTTTGTTATACTTCTGTATATACCAAGATACTTCTAAAGATAATAACCGAGCTTGACTTGCGCAAACACATTACAAACAGGTCACAGTGATTATAAACAGCCTAACTTGGTTCTTGCAAAAGAAATTACTCTAATCTTCTTTTCACAATTGAGTGGGGAACTCCTGTCCCCTCTAACATCTTCTGACAGGTTATTCAAGTGCTATCACCTTCAATGGCCTCAAATTACATGCAAAGTTTTAATTATATTTCCAAACTGAGCTTTCACTTTTGTTTCTTTTTTGTTATCAATGACAGGTTTTGTCAATGTTACATTATCATTAACATACTTCATCAACTATTTTGTGTGGCACAATCTTTGCCATCACAGTCTAGAGTCACTTCTTTACAGTGATGTGAAACTGGGGAAGAAAATACTGATTTAGTGGAATCTGTTTTCTACTATTACTCCTAAATTTCCCAGTGGCTAGCCTATTTCCTCAGAAGAGAAAACAAGCTTCCCATGACACGTAAAGCCAGCTCTGCCTACCCAGAGTTCAAGACGTACTAGTGACACATTGCAAGTCAAGTTAAAATGGAGTAAATTAGCCATTTGAAATCCCCCTACTGCTGCTTCCTTGCAATGGAGAATGGTGACATCATAGAGACAGCTATTTAAAGGAGGGGGGGGAATAACAGAAATTAATTTTGAAGTGGGTTCCTTAAGGTGCCTGCTAGGCACCTTAAACACTGGAAATGAACAAAACAGTTAAACAGTACACAGACTCCTGTACACAATTACAGATCAAGAGCAACCCACATTTGATTATAGTAGTTATCCATGCTTATCTGAGGATTTTTTGTTTATTTTTTAAACAAGTCCGTGAAGCTTCATATACGTGTTCATATTTAGCACTTTGACACAAAACGCCCTGGAAAAAAAGTAATCAGTAGCTTCTTAATAGTAGTCTCTATATCCTACCTTTTTTTTTTTTTTCACTGAAGGCTAAGCTTCCTCAAACTAAGTAGGTGCTTACTACTGGCTTTAACAGAGCAGATAACATCTTCCCTTGTGGTAAGTCACCTGTGATATTAAAGTCCACGTATTTACTGATTTAAAGAAACTGGTTCACATAGTCAATACCATTCTACTGTGTTTACTGACAAGTTAACTTTCACATTTATCTTGTGAACTAATGATCTAAGATAAAAGCATTCGCATTTACCATGTCTTCTTGTCCATAGTCACTTGGACCACCATGTGACGGTAGATATTAAGAATGCGTTTACACATATCAGTGTGTTCATCCAACAGAGCCTTAATTTCATTTGCAGGTTCAAGAAAGAATATATTTGAAGAATTTATTATAAAAACCTGTAAGCAGAAAAGAGTGGATGTTATGAGCTTGAAGCACTGATGTTTTCAGCAATTCAGTTGATAGTAACCAGGAAGAGAAAATCTATGATTAACAGAAAAGGCTGCATATGCTCTCAGAAGTATATATTTAAATATAAATTAGCTTGATGTGATGATAAAGCAACAATAAGACTTTTTTTTTCCCCCATTTTTTTCTACAAAATAGATTCGTATATTTTTGCTTTCATAGATAGTACAACAAACTACTCAATAAAATTATTTTAATATGAGGGACAAAAATGTCCCTGTAAAGAAGTCCCACCTGTAAGCCAGCAACTGACTAGTATCATATAGTCCCGGTACACGGTGTGCGTGTGCTTCAGCATGACAAGGCCTGTACTATGCTCTGGGAAACTAAACCATTCATCCCACTGTGATCGGTAAGGCTTACCAAAAGCAGGAAACAGGATACTTTTCCAAAGTGGTTGACTTCAGTGGACAGTGAATTAGGGCTTTCAGAATTAAAATGATGAAAACAAAGTAGGCAAGGGCACTTCAAGTTACAGGAACTGACAATAGCTACTGTAGTGTTGTTACATTTTTATGTAGGTTTAGGAAGTATTTGAGTCACAGCGAGCCCTAGATTTCCAATTAATTTTTATTTGTTTTTTTAATCTACATGTACAGGAAATCATTGGTTCTAAAGTCGTAACTTCCCTCCACTGAGGGCTTTAGATTTTAATAATTAAAAACTATTAATATGCAGCTGTACATTCACTAGCCTCAACGAATGAGCCTACCCTACTCTAAGTGCCTAGAAATAAGTCTATGCAAGAATTAAATGGAAAGAAAACTCAAGACAGAAGTCTTGGATTCTTGATTCACAGAAGGCGGCAAATGTGGTTCCAGGTCAGAAAACCTCTCAAATTCAGACTGGTTTAGAATGATGCCTTGATTCTGTTTTGGGCTAAAAAATATATTTGCTGGTCAAATGAACCTTTGTCTAAAAAACTGAAACATGAGAATCTCCTAGGCATTCTCAGATGTGTAAGCCTTATTAATACATTGCAAACAGATAAAGATAATTCACTTTTTCTTTTCTCAGAAACACTTCATAATCTAAATGGTCATTGTATGCAAAGATTATGAAACTTAAATTACTGTAATATATTTTAATTTAAAAGTGATTTCAGTTACAAAGTTCATTTCTATATAGAACAGTGTACAGCACAACAGGAAACCCTATTCAGGGTATCATTCAAGCTGCGATAAAAATCATGAGTTCTAATTAGCACGGTCACCCATGGTAAAAGTGCATGCAGCAGAGAGGCAAATGCCCATGTCTATTCTATTTTATTTAGAATAATTTTTCTTCTGAATAAAAAAATATTACAGAGGCTATGGTCATATACACACCTATACATATATATGTGCATGCACCTATTACACATAAAATGCACACATCTTACATGACCTTCAAAGACCCTCGAATTATACACACTTGATTTTTATATCCTCAATTTCAGTAAAGCATTTGAAACATTTGAAATTAACGCAATTTCTACCCTGCCAAATTTCCTAGAAGCAGATAGAAAGCTTCTGTTAGGGAACCTTCCGCAACTCTCCCACTCCTTAAGGCTATCACTGAAGTAGAAAGTTGTGGTGTCTAATCAAATTTTTCAAACAATTACACACTCATCCAATCTGTAATTTCAGATAAAGATGAGAAAACATCCCTGTACACCTTATTATTCACATTAAGAAAACTGCAGGTTTGGATGTTGTGTGTGTGGTGACTAACAGCTTAAAAGAAAAAAGCTTCTAAGCATTCTCATTAAACACTTAATTAGAATAATATGACAACGTGGCACTCAAGAGAGAATTATTTTTTCTGTGATACAATGTACAGGAGAACGCACGTCTTGATGCAAAATTAAAAGATTTTTTCACTGTTATCCAACGCTTGTGTACACATTGTCTACTTAAGGTCAACAAAAATACAGTGAACCACTGTCATTATTCAAACACTTTTTATCATCCTACTTTAAAAACTATTTTAGGTTTTAAAAATTCAGAGATGCTTTCAAGAAGCATGGATTTCCCTTGCAGGAGTACTGCATTATATTCTACTCTTCATGTACTGATAACAAGAGCTTTATTGTTAGCATGAAAAATAGGTACCAAGTCTATTTCATACCTGCAATACTGACTGCACTCCAGCTTGTACATTTTGCTCTTCAGCATCAATTTCAGACATTTTATGCAAAGTGTCTTCATAACAGCCATTTCTTGCCCAGTTTGAGTTTCTAACATGACTGGAGTTCATCCCTTTTTCCTGAAAAATATTTTTTTTCTTAAAATCCCATAGATTTATAAACAGGTATTTTGGTTTTACATTATAGGAAAAAGGATATAGTAGATATTAAATAATAAACAATGGTAGGCAGATGTTTAAGATGGATCTTAGAGACGCAACTATATTGTAAGAAGTTTGTAACAATTATTTTAACGTATCTGAATGAAATAACTTATTTTTTCCTAATCCTTTTATTTGTATATGGTTTTTACACAGCTGAAGGTTAGCATACTTTATAATCCACATCTTGAGAATAGTTCATAAAACTATATGAAATTTTAAATTGAACTAACCAGATTAAAACTCTACAGATAATGTATCAAATTGGTAGCCCATTCATGCACTGTTTAACTACCACTGATTGTCCCCAGTAGATGCTCTGACATAAAATTAAGCCACATATAAATAATCTGTTGAGCAGGCCACTTCTCTGTCTACTAGCATATCCAAAAGATGCACAAATATTAACCAACAATATTTTACCTCTTCTTTTTCTTTTGCTTTCTCTGATGAATTGTGGTCAACAACACTTTCATCACAATCTACAGTTGCGCACTGCATTATTTCTTCAGGTTCCTTCATAAATAAAGGCTTGTCTTCTTGCTGAATCCATTCCTGATACACCTTTACCACTTTCCTCATGGCAGCTGCTTCACATATCGGCAACAGAAATGCCTTTGAGTAGAAAAAGAAACAAACACAAAAACAGTTACAGTACTTGAAATCAAGTTGGGCTTTATGCAGTACAGGCTCTACGGGATAAAGGGGGAAAAAAAAAAATACAGCCACTGTAGGATCTTAACAAACAAATTACTCCTGAACCTGAATGTTTGTTCACTTTCTTCACCTGTAAACTAAAAACATAAGTGTTTTAACATGAAAACTTTTCAAGAAAATACTTTGAAAACTTCACTGTCGAAGAGAGTGATATGAGAATCCATACACGCATATCTACTCGACACCTAGCCTGCTGAAATTAAGGCCCAAACACTCATCAAAAGTATACAAAATGAATGAGCAGCAGTTTCTATTACAACATCTTCCATTCAGAGGACTTGGAAGAGTGGAGTTAAATCAGTTCTAAATGACTGACAAAAATTCAAGTGACATACATCACCGATAGCCATGCATCTTATTTTTAGCTAAATGAGACTTTACAAACAGTATCTTTAAAACAAATGACTCCCTGAAAAGATTACAGAATTATTGTTTCAAAAAAATCGTGTATTTGAGTCAGTGTGACAGCTGATTAGTGCCCTCTTCAGGAGTTTTTCTGCATCTCCTGTGCCAAGAACGAGTCAGAGATCAGAAACTTTTAACATTGGTCAGGTTTTAAATAACTATAAGTACACTTACAAAGACTGCGATGCCCTGTTTTAAAAAAAGAACATATAAACTACACTAACACATAGTTTTATGGAGTCCACAGTGCAAACGTTGAAAACTTATCACCTATGTCTTTAAGCAGTGACAACTTGACACAAGTGGTAAGTTCTCTCTCTGGAAATGGACGTTTCATACCTGTATTGCACTAAAAAGAATTTTGCTCTCTATCACAGAATTCAGCTGACAAGTTCATCAGTCACACACTATCACTTATGAAGTCTAAAAGTCTTCTGTAAGCCCATTTAAATTTTTTGTACCCTGGATTTTTTCTACAGACAATCTTCCCACCATTCAGTACAACTGAAACCTCCTCTTGACTGGAATAACTTGGCTCTAATGTTTTAGAAACATTTCATTTCTAATATGCCAGATATTTGTACCTACTCTGAAAACATCTGGCTAAACAATGACTTACGAGAACTCATAACCACACATGAAATTCAAATATCTACATAACTCATAGAGCGCCTTGTGAAACGAATGAAGAAAATTGCCTTTCCCGTCCCTTTCACTGAGGGGGGGAGTTTCTGAGTGGAGCAACAGTAATTTCATCTCTCCATCGAATGTCTCAGACTCTGTAAACCCTTGAGTGGCAGCACAATTCAGGTAACTCCATTATCTCCTTCAGTAATGTGACCAAGCTCTTCAACATATTGGATGTGGATAAGCTTCTGACATTTATTTGCCTCATTCTTTCGAAAATATCCATTTCACCCAGACATACTGAAGTATTAAAATGTTTAGTTTTCTGCTGTTTGAAGCAATTAGTGTCATGCACTTCAGTTGTAACTTAGTATATAGCCATATGTCCCACTCTTCTGATGAACATTATCAAAGTCAGGACATTTGACTGCTCCTACAACAACTCTTTAACAGCTGCAGAGTCCAACAGGAGGTTTATATTAATATGCTTGTTTGTAAGCTCTAATAGCTACAGTGTTGATGTATGAAAAGATCAAACATGCCTGTCTATGAGGAACTGTAAAGTCCAAGTTAAATGTCGTTGAACTGGTTATTAAAGAAATAAAACTAGAAAAATCAGGAACCAGGTATATTCTACACAGAAAATATTTCAAAATTTTAACTTTCCAATTCTTAAATCTTAAAGGCAAGATAACTAAAAAAACCTGTACATTTATATAATGTTCTGCTTAGCAAATGCTCTTGAAAGAAAACCATGATATAATGAGCATTTACAATACAACAATTAAGATTCTTGTATTCTAAAGAGAGTTCTTCACCTGTCGAAAAATCTCAGTTAGAAAATTAACATTGCTTCTTTTAGAAGAAAAGACCTTCCGGACAATTTCAATATCAGTTAAATGCTCTTCATCAATACTGCAGAGGCTGGAAGAACTTGGTTCTCTCTCTGTTAGAGTACTTGTATTAGAATGAGACTGTTCTGGCTCTGCATTTCTATCCTGCTTATCGGTACTGTCATTTTTGCTGTCCTCCTTTGAAGCCATGCTAGCAGCGGCTCTCTGAAACAAAAATTGAAGAATATTTCATAGCTCATTTTTAGTACAACAATTGAATAGGACAATTTAAGTTATACAATACTATAATCTAAAACAGGGCAAAAAATTCAGGAAAAAAAAACAAAGATAGGATTGACTACATTTCAAAGCTTCTTATGTCTACTTGATCAAGAACAAAATAGCAGAATTTGAAAAAGAAAAAGCAGCATAGTGAATTCATAAACAGAAAATTTGTTTAGAAATTCCATTTTTAATTCATTATAATTATCGGAGGAGTGCACACTGCTGACATAACAATTAAGACAAAAACATGAAAACAAACACTTTTTTGTATATTTGGTTTTACCTGAATATTCTTTGGCACATTTTCACCTTCCATCCCAGGAATATGAGGTCCTGTATGAGGTTTTGGCTCAAGCCAGAAAGACACCAACCATCGAATGACAATAACACGAGCCTTAATAAAAGGTTCCTTTGTGCAATATATTGCCTCATTGGTTTCAACATCTTTCTTAACCATTACATAGTGTGGCTTTGGTCTCATTTGTGGTATATCTGTAAGGAAACACATCATTTTAAAAATACGTGCAGAAAGAAAGCTCTATATAAGAAAGAAATCCTAAACCAACACATGTGAACTTTCAGAGGTGCTGTTTTTTCGTATTCACTGTTGCACAACTCATCCCAGGATGTGCCAAAATGAACGTGACAGAGAAAATTTCAAGACTAGACTATAAGACAACAAAAGGCTGTCATTTTGTAAATTTAATTCCGAACTGTATTCTAACAGCAGCTGCGGCAAACACTTTTCAGGCCCTGCAATACGTGAAAGATGAATAGAACAGAGAGAAATCCTGCTCCAAAGCCACATGAGTTTTGCAGCTTCATCTAATGCCACATCTGCACTAGCTAATTCTGCTGGATTTTGCTGCCAGAGCAAGGGCACATGCATCTCCCTGTGACTTAGCAGAAAGATGATTCTGCAGCAATAGCTTCTGTACTAGCTTGCAGGGAATGTAATGAATGATGTCCAGCAGCATGCCAACTGGCAGGAACTGTGGTTAGTTGGGATTTATAACCTACAATTCCATGTTCTCCATCCCATGTTCTACACAACATCAGAACTGTTTAGCTCTTCTGGTTCTCTACTGTGCTAGTGACAAAGATGCTGACAGTGTCATCAGTATTCCTGAATCTGCTTCAGAAAAAAGTGACAGTCCTTAATAACTCAATGTGGATGGAATTGACACGGGTGGTAAAAACATTACAAAGGATGGGGGTGCACAATGAGACATAGACAGTTTTTAAATTGTGCATAATGCACATTTCTGCAGGGACAAATACCAACAGCCCAGTTCAAACTCCAGCCATGTATGTAGCAGCCAACTCAACACTGCAAAATGTCATCTCTGGGTTTCACAACCCGAGACAGGGTATAGAGCAGTTCTGCAATACCAACCATCAACCTAAAGCAGCTATGAAACTTTCAGATGTGAATGACATTTCTCTGGGAGTGGTGTCTGAACTCCATTCCTAGTTCTAGAAAGCCAAGTATGAGATGTGCTGATACAAAAAAGTGGACTAAAATTTGTCCGAGGACTGATTATGACATGTGCTGTCAGAACACACGCTGCTGATGTTTCAATATCACGATTTTCATCTGGTGACAACACACACAAATCCAAAAAAAGCAAGAGCAACAAAAAAAAAAAAAAGAAAAGAATGAGGCACAGAGAATGGTGGTCCTATCCAGATATGGAGAGTGGACAGAGATGGTATTTCAACACTGCCTCAACTCTTCTGTAGCTTGTGGTATGCAAGTAAGAGATACATTCCATGGTTTTACAGTCCAGAAGGCAGTTCAAAGATACTAATGGTGGGAGTCAAAGAAGATGCAAAGTAGCCATGTTGAAGAATATAAATTTGTTCCCTGACTATATCTTCCTAATGCAAGGTCAAAAATTCTTTTAAGGGATCCAGTATAATTTCTGCCAGGTTATAGTATCATAATGCAGGAAAAACAAATCTGGATAGCAGCAAAGAAACAATCAGCTACTATCTAGGCAATTAACTTATGACAGCCATACATACTTTTAGGCATTTGAAGTGAATGCAGCCTACCTGCCAGGCTGCTGTACAGGGTTCCCTGTTAATGTTACAAATACAGCATTGAAGATATCCAAGCTGGCGTACCTCAGTATCATTTCAACAGCCACATACAAAAGTAGTGATAAAATCATCATGATGCTGCTAAACTGCGGAATGTTGCCAGAACAGACTTAAAAGCTATATCCTCTATTTTTAATGGAAGCATTATTTTCAGAGGAAAAAACTAAACTACTCTTGTATACCATCCACCTACCTAAGTAACAAATGCACAGAATACTTTTTTTAAAGCTTACAAAGAGTTTATTTACTACAAGTAAACACCAGTACATTGTTCTAATTCAGTGGAAAGCAGCAGGTTAGTAAGAAAATTAAAAACTAATATATCTTAAACAGAAGCACGTATAACAGCACAATCAGTGAAAAAAGGAGGCAAATGCCTGGTAGCACAGTATTTAAAGATGCAAAAATCATTTATCTATGGTATTCTATCATTTATCTATTAGCATTCATCAAGGCACAAAGGCTGCAATACTGGCAGTATTTTCAAAAGGACAAGACATCCAGTAGACATGCAGTAAACATGTCGCTGTAGCACACTGTCTCATTCTGTAGTTTCATGATATCCTCTCTCTCTATTCCTTCTCAACTGTATTATGTGTCACAGTTGCTTCTCAAATGTATCTTTCTTCAGTCATTTCTTGTATTTTCATATTTCTGTCCATCTTGGAAGTAGGTGTCAATGCTTCAGATGAGGGCACTAATGTAAAATCAAAGCACAAGAGAAGTTTCTTAGACTGACTCAAACAGCATAAGAAGAAATACTCCCTTCCCCCAGCTTTCCCTTTTTTGTTTTGTTTTGGGCTTTCCCCAACCCCCACCCTTCCCTCTCTGGGAACCTGGTGTGAACGGGTGCCAAAAAAGGGCAGGAAGCTGCAGGTCGAAGACATACACAGGGTAGAAAATTAAAAGGCTAGCAAAGACAGAACAGTGGATACTTGTAGTTTTGATCACGCTTACTTTAAGGCAATAAAGGGTTCACAAGGAATGAAGGGGTGCAGAGAGAATAGCCCACTTTACTGTAACCCTGTAAATGAAGGGGCCTATCTAAATGGCTTGCAAATGGCACCTAAAGACACATTATGCCCCTGGAATCTTAATGCCATATCCATAGTTTTTACTAAAGCTTTCCTTCTACTATCTTACAGAATCTAAACAGATATTAAAAGACATTCAAAACAGAATAAGACAAAAAGAACAATCTCATGGGCTCTTCTAAGCCTGTATTGCTTTTATAAGCCTGTAATACTCATGAATGACAGAATCTGGATGAGGCACAACACTAGCTTCGTGTAACTGGAATGCTCATTGCTCATTACTGTAATCAATATATTTATCTGATAATCTGCCTTAAGAAGGAGAAAAAAAAACTCAACCCAATATACTATCTCCAGTGAAGCCCTCTACCAATGCTTACTTACTAATACTACTGTTTCGATTTGTACCTCCTGACTTCTCCTAAATTTAAACATTATACCTGTAACATAAGAACTGTTTTTCGTAGCAGGGTCAGTGTCCAAGTTTGCCCGTTTTCTGCTTAAATGCTGTCAATTTTGTTCAGAACAGGCACAGGATTTTTTTCAAATACAGTGGGGAGATGCATGTCAGAGAAGAACTTCTTAAAGGAGAAAAGACTATTCTACTTACCAGTGTTTCTGTTGCATTAATTACTGTATTCTTCCCAAAATCCTTGTCATTGTTGCTGACTTTGTACAGTTTAAGGCACTGAGAGTAGTTTGGAGATCTGTGCCCACTTCTTCTTTGTTCCCCATCAGCCTCTTCTTTACCAAGGCCTTGAAAGTTTCTTTTTTATGGTTCGCAGAAAAAGAGAGGACTACAGTAACACTTCTGTGGAAGACTCTTCATAGAAAGTATCATTTCCACATTTCTTGTTCAAAGATGTCAAGCAGCACTACGTTTGCTTCCTCAGCACTGCTTACTATCCCTCTTGCAGCTATTTTACCACTGATCCTCTTCAGTATCTTCACACAACCCTTATTCTACTGATACTCTTCTTCTCTCCTAGACGAGAAGGTCCACTGTTTGTCTTTCCCAGGAGAACATGGCTTTGAAACATCCACCTCTGAAGAAAGCCACAATCCAAATACTTGTATATGGACGGACAGAAAGTAAGACCTTCTCAACAAACTTCCGACAGCTTGATCTTAGAATATGAAAATGCAGCTGCAGATCACTACTAATGTGATGACACTGCATCAACAGGTAAGAGGAGCAGTGAGGTGTCCATATTATTTAAGTAATGAAGTGGCAGCTTAAAGCCTATATACATGGTATACATTTGCAAACAAGAGTCCTGAACTCTGCTGGCTTATAACCAACATGTGCACAGGTGCATGCAAAATGGAGTCAGCAAAACTGAGATGTGCAAACAACGTTCCAGTTTAGAATGGACTAGAAATCTCTGAACAAAACTCTAGTTAGGTTTGCTCAGCAAACACCTAAAATTCTGGTCTCTATATGGAAAGATATATTCTAGCACTATCAGCTTTAAAGATTGTGTTAAACCCTAGCTTCCTCTTCCTACTGCAAGCTCTTGACAAAATACAGTTGACACAAAAACATAACTAACCTTGCCCTGACTGAACTATGAGCAAGCACTGTATAATCCAAACACTATGGTTCTGTACAGATAAAGCCAAAAGCATGCTAACACCTTTTATCTCAGTAGCAGTAGTTTGTCTTCAGAGCACAACTTAAATCAACAACAGAGGTCACATTAAAGAACTATTTCACAAGAACATTTAATTTACCTGAATCAGGTTAATACAGCAAGACTGACTCTAATGAAAGGATCAGGTGCCTCCACAAACAGAGAACTGAAAACCATGAACAGGAACCGCAACATACTCTTAAGAAATACTTTTGGAGAATATTCTTTATGGGCAACATGACTCAAGCAAAAAAAACCTGCTTTGCTATACTCTGTTAGAGAAAATGCAATTATTTTATCAGCTATTTAAACACTTACCAAGTATAGGGTTATACAAGCTGGTCTCCTTACAAATGTTTGGGAAAATAGAAGGTAAGTAGTATTTCTTAAAATTTGAGAATAAAAATGAAAATCCCTTTTCCTGGTTTTCCTTGTTCTTCCATTCTAAACTCTTAACCTTAAAAAAAAGAAGTTGGATAAAGTAAACATCTAGAAGTAGACGAGAAAGATGATTGATGAAATGGCTTCTTTATAAGTTCTTTCTTTGGAACAAAATCATATGGATTTTAGTAGACAATTTTAAAAAGATGGAACAGAAACTAGCTAGGAAACGTCAATGAAACAAAGACTGCTCTCTTCCAAAACATTGCTTCAAAATGAACTTGAACACATCAAACACTGAAACCAGTAGAAATACATCGACTTTTATGATCATCTTGCCAAATCAGGGAGTAGACCCAAATTGATTGTTTTTAATAAAACTGGTTTGTTATTTCAAAATGTTTTATTAAAAAAAAAGGACAATTACCCATGCTACTCTGAACATTTATTTGACAATTTTTTATCACTTTTTGACAAACAAGTGTCCATCATAATAGGTACTTGGATTAATCTGGTGGTTGGCAATACGAAACAAACAAATCTGTCAACCAAAAGCAGCAGAAGATAGAACTTCAAAGTTGAATTACACAAATCTACTTTCATGGATCATGAGTGCTAAGCCTTCCTCATTATGAAATGTTCTCCTACTTAAAAGCATGGTAAATTCTCCTTAACAACAAGCCCAACATGCAGGTTCCATCTTTGTCCTGGAGAATCCATCTGCCTGCAGAGCTGGGTAATCTGTCAAATCTACCACAAATAAAATACAGGAAGTTTTCTGAAAAGAGCCCTTTTTTTTT